TTAATGTCCCTCCTTTGTCTCATCCTGTTTTCATCTTTGGTGCATCTGTCCCCCTCATTCACTGCGTAGACAGAGCGTTTTATTTAGGCATCTCTCCTTTTCCTACCTTTTGGGATAATTTGTTATTGTATCTCAAAAATATTCATTTAAAAATAAACCTTTTTCTGTTCCTCAAATAATTTCTGGAAACCACCCCAACTGTAATAAATACACATTTACATGCCTTACCTGCTGTCCTCTGTAATGTTTGCTTTGCAGTTTGGTCTGAGCATTTTTCTCCATTCCCATCTACCTTTTAAGTTCAAAGCTTACTTAGGCTGTTTTGCAATTCCCTTTGCAAATGCATTTCTGTATCATCTGATCATGCTATGTGCATATTGTATATGCCAATGCCTGCAGGTGTCTAGGCTGTTTTGTTTATAGAGTATTTTTCTCTTACTGCTTCTTGTCTTTCATTCTCACTTTTGGTATTTTATTTATTCCTGTTCCTCTAAAGGATGTGAAACTTAAACCTGTATTTAAATTATCAAAAGGCTCAGTAAAAGATTCACTGAGGATGACAACGACAAACTTGCTCTTAACTTAGGTTTATGGAATATCTGTGACATGGGCTCTCCACCTTGGAGATGGCGTAGAGAAGGAGGAGGTATGGAGGCCAAGGCAAATAATCAGAGTTGGCCTGAGAAGCTTTTTCAAAATGTATGTGCTGCATCTCTTTCCTGATCCTTGCCCTGTTGGGAGTGAAACTAGGCGGATACTGTGTGTTACCCTCTCAGCTGAAATACTCATCTGTAGTTTTCAGTTACAATAATCTGGTTTGTCAGTGCCATGCTTATTACGATTATTTGTTTCATTGTCTAAAAATAAAAATAAAACTATCAGTTCATTTTGTTTAAACTGAAAAGTGAAAAACTAATGTAAGCATTTATTTACCTGTTTAAGGACATTTTCAAATCAAAAGGCGAGAAAGTGCAATTTTAATAAATCATAAATTGGTTTGATGCATGCACTTTGCCTCCTCTGTAAATATTCAGTTAAATATGAATTAGTTAAAATATAATTACTTGCAAGCATGTTGCCATGGATTGGATGAACTTCAGAATGCTGGAAACAATATTCAAAGTTAATAGAGAACAGTTAAAGTTACTAATGATATTTGTAGGAAATGTTTTGGAATAGTGCAGAATGGAAACAGTGAAATTCAGAATCAGAGGTACTAGGTTTGAATTCATGCTTTGGCACCTGCTAGCTCTCTTGGGCCTGGTGGTTAGGCCTCAAGGCCTCAGTTTTAACATCTTTGGAATGGTTATGACCCCTACCTCACAGAGTTGTTGCAAAGATCAAATAAGGTCTTGAATGTGACAGTGACTAATACCTAAACACCCAACAAATGTTAATAGAATCTGGACCTACGATCAAGGTTTCCATGTTATTTTTAACTTTATGTGTGTGCATTTGAATATGTGAAATGCATAGAGAATTAAGCTTAGTATCTTCTCTTTTCCTTCTTTCTTTTTGCTTTTTTTTTTTTTTTTTGAGACACAATCTCACTCTGTCGCCCAGGCTGGAGTGCGGTGGCGCCATCTCGGCTCACTGCAACCTCTGCCTCCCAGGTTCAAGCGATTCTCCTGCCTCAGCCTCCCAAGTAGCTGGAATTACAGTTGCCCGCCACCACACTCAGCTAATTTTTGTGTTTTTAGTAGAGATGGGATTTCACCATGTTGTCCAAGCTTGTCTCGAACTCTTGACCTCAAATGATCTGCCCGTCTTGGCCTCCCAAAGTGCTGGGTTTACAGGCTTGAGCCACTGCACCTACCCAGCTTAATATATTCTTAGACTATGGAGGGCAGGTAAGATATGGAGTGTAAGCATGTGATGTGTGTGAGTGTGTATTTCTTGAAGATATCATTTCAAGTAAGTTTTTAGATATTTTCAAACCACATACACAGGCTGAAAAATGTGCAGTGTTAATTTCAGAGAGTTATAGTCATGGTAGCATTCTTCTCGCCCTCCTGTTCTTGTTTTCCTTGTGCTGGATCTGTTTTGACGGCGTACTTGGTTCTCAAGGGGGTAATGACTTTACCCTTAGTCATGAATACTGATACACAGATTCTTTTTTTTTTTCTAAATGAAAACTAAATATTAGTATTGTATCCCTGTTTTATGCCCATATAAGAAAGTGTTGAGTTTAGTTCCTTACTATGAAATGTAAAATGTGTGGAAAGCAAATAGTATTCTTTGTGGTAATGACAAATCACTGAGTGCATGCTATGTTAGGTGCTTAATATATATTATTGATCACATTACAACAAACTATAAAATAGGTGATACGTAATTTTTCAGATAAGGAAACTGAGGGTCAGAAGGATAAATATATTTTCCAAGGTCAGAGAACTATTAAGAGAGAACCAGAAAGCAAGTTCACATTGGTCTGACTAAAGCAAGGGATAAGGTTGCTGCCCGGTCACTAGCATAAGTCAAAGGAATATTTTAAGGTATAAAAGAAGTTAGAAATGTAATAGGGATACTTTTGCCCTTGGAGGAGGCTGAAGCCTGCAGGACGGACAGTGCATCTATTCTCAAGAGGTTGTCATTGATCCAGCCTAGGCCCAGCAACAAGGCCCAGGCAGCTTCTGGCTTTTTTTTCCTTTTCCCTAAGCTTCTTTTTCTACTGTGGTGTGATTCCCCAGATGGTTCTCAAGGCATTGCTTATCACTTAGAACTGTGTACTCAATGCCTCTCTCTCATCCCAGTTCCACTGCCCAACTCCCACCCCATAGAGAAACACACAACAGAATTACTGTGAGAATTATTTGAGTTAATATATGTAAAGGGTTTAATACAGTGTCTGATAAATAGTAAGTACTCAATAAAATTGGCTATCATTTTTTAAAGTCTTTATCATTAAGTATTATTAGGCCAGGCGCAGTGGCTCATACCTGTAATCCCAGCACTTTGGGAGGCCAAGGTGGGCAGACCACCTGAGATCAGGAGTTCAAGACCAGCCTGGCCAACACGGTGAAACCCCTGTCTCTACTAAAAATACAAAAATTAGCCAGGTGTGGTAGCAGGCGCCTGTAATTCCAGCTACTCAGGAGGCTGAGGTAGGAGAATCGTTTGAACCTGGGAGGCTGAGGTTGCAGTGAGCTGAGACCATGCCATTGTACTCCAGCCTATGTGACAGAGCAGAACTCTATCTCAAAAAAAAAAAAAAAAGTGTTCTTAGTAGTGATAGTGGTGGTGATGGCAATGGTAGCAGTGATAGTGGTGGAGGTGGTGGTGGTGGTGGTGGTGGTGGTGGTGGTGTTGGTGATAGCAGTAGTGGTTGATTCGAAGGTTTTATGACACATTTTTCAAGGACCTGATTGTTCCCTGTCCATGATCTGTCTTTGTGCAATTCATTATACAGGGTCACAGGCATAGACATGCTTAGTCAGACGCCCAGGATAGAAGAAGGGAGAATTAGTAAGAGAATGCTTGTTTCTACTCAGAAGTTGCCAGAAACAATTCTCTGTATGCCCTACTGCCTTGTTATCAGCCATGGAAACAGTCCACAAAACCTACTTCTAAACCTTATCTTGCCTGGCTTTTTTTCTTTCCTTCTATCTGTATAGATAGAACATTTAGAGTCACTGGTTTGGAGTCACTGATAGGGTCACACACACGTTTTTTTTTTGTTGTTTTCTTTCAGTTTGGTAAGTTATACCTGAACTTCATGCCGGGTTCCCAGACCCGTTGCTGTGCTGAAGTGTGCAGAATTACTTGATCTGCAGAGGCCTCTGTAGTTGCCCCCCTTTTTTTTCCTACTTACTTTTTTTTCCCCTTCATATAAAAGTTTCCATTTTAGCATATGTATTGACTTTACCTTTTCTGCTTTTCAGTTTGTTCTCCTAATTTTTATATTTGGTTGTATTTCCTGTTCCAGATTTGAAACCACATTTTGCATAGCAACAGAGTTTAACCGTGTGAAAGGCTATTGACAGATGCATGATTTTATAAAACTTCTTATGAACTCAGTGGAATTGAACCCTGGCTGGAGATTCATTTTAGGTGGAAGCATTCCTTCTTGTACTCCCTTCCTTGATCCGTATTATTGCACTTAGCTTATCTCAGTTGAGAATGTTTAGCCCTTATTTTCTCTTTGAGCAAATGTTAACATCTACAATCTTTATCATCTCATCTACTTTATAACATTAAAAATACATGCTTCAGTATGCTTTCTAATTAATCTTCCCTTTCCTAAAATACAAGTATACAGAACTTAAAGGGTATAATTTCAGATTTGGGGATTATTTTGTCTATCTGTAATGGACAGTATTTAACTATTAATAAACAATATTTACTGCAGTTATATCAGCTCAAAAGTAATTGACATTCTTTCTAGAAGATGCGGATTATGAAAGGTAAAATAAATTAAAAATCACTTTATTTTAATACTCAGAGATGACCGTAGTTGAAATGTTGGTGTATTTCCCTCTAGTCTCCATTTAACTTTATATATTCAGTTGTATATATTCATTGATGTCTATAATATATATTCATTTTTGGAATTATATAATTCTGTTTATATGAATTATATATAATGAATGAATTATATTTATTAACTAAAGTTTACAGTTTATATATAAACTGCAATTCATGCTATATTATATAGCAGTATTATGATATTCCAATAATTTTTTTGCTACAAGTTTGACAAAATAAAAAATTAATGATTTGAAGAAAACTAAAATAGATGATTTCTGATTATAAAATATGCATGTGTACAATACAAACATTTAAATATTAGAAAAATAGATCATGATAATTATGAATCCTACAATTCCCCTATTCCCACTGTTAGTCTGTTTATAAGCAATTTTTAAAAAATGTATTTATGATGAGATTTTTATCGTGGAGGAATGTGGAATAGATGTTCTTTGCTCTAGGCTTAGTCAAATATGCAGTGACCCACAATGTGTTTTGTGAAATAATATCTCAGTTTTTTCTCCATGCTTTAGGTATGTATTCTTTTTGGATCCATGCAACCTGGACTTGATAAACCGGAAGATTAAGTCTGTAGCACTGTGTGTAGCAGCATGTCCAAGGCAAGAACTGAAAACTCTGAGTGATGTTCAGAAGTTTGCAGAGATGAATGGTGAGACATTAGGCCATCCAAATCTATGTCCTATCACCTTGTTCTCTTTGTTAAATATAAATTTGCCCTAGTGTTAAATAAATTATCAAGGAACCTTAGATAATTGAAGTAATTTTGGACTTCCTTGCTAAAAAATATTATAGTCACCCAGGGAGCTTGTTAAACTCCAGATTCCTGGGCCTCACCCAGCAAAATTCTGACTGAGTGGGTCTTTGCGCTCTGGAAGTTAGTATTTTTTAAATAAATATCTCAGGTGACTTTGATGTAGTCTGTTGAGTGTTTGGAAATTACTAAACCACTGTAGGTAAAATTTGTTTCTTGTTCCCCCTTCCCAAGGATTGGTTAAAAGTATTTCAATTCACATTTATATAAATTGAAACAAATTTTATATATTGAAATAATATATATACGTGTGTGTGTGTGTGTGTGTGTATATATAAAACCCTGGTTAGCAATGTAACATATGCATATTATAGGAAATTCGAAAAGTTCAGAAAAAATAAGAAGTAGAAATTAAAATTCCAGCATCAGTACTTTTTCAATGAGTCGGTGTGTATATAGTTTTGTGTTCTGCTTTTTAAATTTAATGTTCTGTCATGGCTCTTTTTCTAAAAATAATTGTGAGAAACTTTGAGACCAAACATAGGGGAATTAGCTGAGAAAACTAACATAGTTTCCTGAAATCTAGCTCTGTTCTCTGAGGCATTTTATCTGTAGGTACCATCCTCAGGTCCACATGGCTTGCCTCAATTCTTTTCTGAGAATCGTTTTTTTAACCACCCTTTGTAGAGGCCCCTGTTTTTGAATTTCTTTGAGGTTTCATGCTTGTATTTTGTGTGTAGGAATCCTCAGAGCTGCCTTGGTCCTGCCCAGATCCACAGGCTGGTGCTGGTTCCTTGGAACAAGGACCAACCCAAGTATCCAGTGGGTACAACTTCTTGCTGGGTGGACAGACAGCCTGGAACCATAACTCTGCACACACTAGCATGGCTCCAGTGTCTTCCTGTTGGGGATGCCAGCCTTCTGAAGGCGGGAGGACTGCAGCCTTCCAGGCTGGCAGTATCCCTGTTCCGTTGTTCCATGCCCTCAGCATAGGATAGCATGGGTTGATTTGGGTCTGGATTCCAGTGCTGACTGTCACTGACTGCCTCTGTAATAAGGGTAAAGGGTAAAAGTTCTCTGAGCCTAGGTTTCCTCATCTGAAAAAATGTGGATTAAAAATAATACTCCCTCATACGTTGTTATGAAGATTAAGTAAGATGATGTATGAAGAATACTGAACACTTGGTAGGCACTTGAATAAAGAAGTGCCAACCACTCTTCACGATCTCATTTTTTATTCCCATATGGTATCCCCACATGTGTTGTTGCTGAGCCTCTTACCAGAACTACCAGCCTCATCATTATAAGGTTTCTTAGGGAGAGGTGAGCCCTTCCTTAAGGGTTTTTCCAGAATTTTAGACAATGTGAGTATACTCTGACAAGTGATGTGGTTGAGTGGTTAAAAGTATACGCTCCGGAGTGCGATTGTTTGGGTTCAAATGTTGCTCCTACCACTCACTGGCTGTGAGACCCTGGGCAAAGTACTTGACTTCTCCTTGCCTCCGTTTCCACATCTATGAAATAGGGACAATATTCATACCTAATATACTTCATAGGATTGTTATGAGGACTTGATACATGAACAATGCTTAGAACAGTATCTGGCAAATATTAAGTTGCTAAGAAAAATTATTGGCTGCTGCTATTATCATTATAATTATTAATATTATTCCACTAATGGAATGTAATAGTCTTTCTGCTTCCAATTTCTGTCTAGTTTTAGCTCTCTTATATACTGCTGCCATGTTAATATTCCTAGAGCTTCAATCAATGCTAACCCCTTGCTCAGAAAGCATCCATGTAAAAAATAAAAGTCTATATGTCTTATGCTATCATTCGAAGCTATGATCTAGTCTCGAACTATCTTCCAACATGTCTTCTCAAACCCACTGGTTGTGAGTCTTGGTCCCTTGAACCTGAGCTGTCATCTGGAGGGCTAGAAGAGAGCTAGGTCCTTGTTAGCTGTGTGGCCTGCTGAGATGTTTCCTGGAGGAGAAATGCCCCATGCTCCCCTGCTGGTATGCTTTGTTTCCAGGCTGGTATCCTTCTAAGTGAATATAATACTGACTGTGGCCTGTTCAGGTTTAGTTAAGAAGACCCTCCTGGTGGGTTTTACAGCTTTGTATTTCTCACTGTGTCTTGCACAAAGTAGGTGCTCAAGATTTATTAATGAATAAACATTATTTCAGAAAACAGACTTGTTAAATTGGTGCCTAGCTACAAAGGTACCATTGGGATTTTGTGCCAGCTGTATGAATAATAAGTCAATAAGGTAGCCATAGAAAATGACAGCATCAAGAAGTACAATGATGGAGGATAGAGAAGACAAAATGTTAACAGGCAAATAGAAAAGCTATAAAATTATATCAGAGAGAGAGCCTTTGGTATAGGGGCCTAAATACCTTATTTGAGTAGCAACCCTAACTTGAAATTTCTGAACTTCTCAAAAGAACCTATGCTGTTGTTTGAATTGGTAACTTAAAACTAGACCTGGTAAGATTTAATTCCAATATTACCCTTGTCACTGAGAGAATTATTTCTCTGCTTTTTGCATTATTTTTCCTTCTTTTGTCTTTGTAAGTTACCTGATTTTTTTTCTTTTTCTTCTTGCTTAAAAGACAGAGTAAAGTGCAGTAGTCTGGTCTGTAGAACAGTGGCACAGTTATGGTTCACTGCAGCCTTGTACTTCTGGGCTCAAGTGGTTCTCCTGCTTCAGCCTCCTGAGCAACTGGGACTATAGGCATGTGTCACCATGCCCAGATAATTTTTTTACTTTATGTGGCAGTGAGGTATCACCATGTTATCCAGGCTGGTGTCAAACTCCTAGCCTTAAGTAATCCTCCCTCCTCGGCCTCTCAAAGTACTGGGATTACAGGTATGAGCCACACACCTGGCCATTCACTTATCTTTTCTATTGTTTGAGGTGCAAGTTGATTCAAGAGTAGCAAGTAATTTTTATTAGAATCTATGTCTGCATGTTGTTACAGTATATTTCTGTTAGAAAATACACAGACCCTTCAGCCTCAAATATATAAACCTCAATCGTTAATTTCAGAGAGGAATAGCTTTAATATATAATTCAAACTTAAGTGGGAAATTTTCAAGTCAGTAAGAGGGGATAGTGTAAAGTCCATGAAAGAACCTAAACGTAAGAGCTAAAACTGCAGAAACTCTTAGAAGAAAATGTAGGGGAAAGCTGCATGGCAATGCATTTGGCAATAGTTTATTGAATGGCACCAAATTGCACCAAAGCACAGGCAACAAAAGAAAAAAATACATAAATTGGATTACGTCACAATTGAAAACTGTACATCAAGGGACAAAAATCAACAGAAGTGAAAAGTCAACCCATAGAAAATACTTATAAATCAGATATCTGGTAAGGAGTTAATATCTAGACTATCTGAAGAGCTACTATAAAAAAACACACCTAAAATCACACAAGTGTTCGTGAGGATGTAGAGAATTGGAACCTTTGTGTACCATTGATGGGAATGTAAAACAGTGCAGCTGCTATGGAAAATAGTATGTAGGTTCCTCAAAAAATTAAAGATAAAATTAGCATATGATACAGCAGTCCCACTTCTGAGAATATATCCAAAAGAATTGAAAAGAGGATCTTGAAGAGATATTTGCACAATCATGTTCGTTGTAGCATTATTCACAATAGCCAAGAGGTGGAAGCAACCTCATGTCTGTAGACCAATAAATGGTTGGAGAAAATATGGTGAACTACCAGTCGTGGTGGCTCACACCTGTAGTCCCAGAATTTTGGGAAACTGAGGGAGGAAGCGCGCTTGAGTTCGGGAGTTCAAGACCAGCCTGTGCAACGTAGTGAGATCTCATCTCTACAAAAAATGAAATTACCCAGGCATGGTGGCACGCACTTGTAGTCCCAGCTACTCAGGAGGCTGAGGCGGGAGGATCTCTTGAGCCCAGGAGGTTGCAGTGAGCCGAGATCATGCCACTGCAGTCTAGCCTGGGTGACAGAGTGAGACCCTGTCTCAAAAACAAACAAAAACAAAGAAAATGTGGTGTATACATACAATGGAAGATTATTTTAGCCTTAAAAAAGGAGGAAAGAAACATCATATGCTTCAACTTGCATGAAAATTGAGGACACTATGCTAAGTCAAATAAGTCAGTCATAAAAGAAAAAGACTGCATAATTCCACTTACATGAAACAAAAAGTAGAAGTGTGGTTGCCAGGAGCTGAAGGAGGGGGAGAAAGGGAGTTGTGGTTCAATGACTAGAGTTTCAGATTTACAAGATGAAAAAGTTCTAAAAATCTGTTGCACCACAATATGCATATAGTTAATAGTGCTGTACTGTACACTTAAAAATGGTTAAGACAGTCAATTATATGTTATGCATTTTTTTACCGCAATAAGAAATAGGAAAATAAATTCTGACACATGCTATAACGTGGATGAACCTTGAGGACATTATGCGAGGTGAAGTAAGCCAGTCACAGAAGGACAAATACTGTGTGATTCCACCCTGGAGTAGTCAAATTTATATAGACAGAAAGTAGAATGATAGTTGCCAGGGTGGCAGGGAGAGTGGAATGGGGATATTGTCTAATGGGTGAAGAGTTTTAGTTTAGTAAGATGAAGAGAGTTCTGGAGATGGATGGTGGTGATTCTTGTACAACAGTTTGAATGTACTTAATGTCACTGAACTGTACACTTACAAATGATTACGATAGTAATTTTATGTTGTCTTTATTTTATCATAATTTTTATTAAGTTCATGAAAGAGGAGTCCTGTTTCAGGTAGTAACAGTTTAAGTGCTAATTTTATACCTAATTTTAAGATGCAAGGCAATATAACATGTTTCTTACTAGAATGAGAGGATAATATCAATCCTTTTCAAAGAATTTTAAGTTTCCATGAC